AAATTCTATTAGATCATATTATTGGATATAGTTCATCTTAATATAGATCTAGTCAATTTATGGAAGTCTCCTCTCTTATTGAATATGATGCTATTATTAAAAATACTCCTGTTATTAGTGAAGACCATATCACTATTACTTTGACTATTAAAACAAAGGACTATATAGGCCAAGGCAATGTGAATCAAGAATTTGAATGCCAGCATTTGGTATCTGCTCAACATCTTATCTAAATATCTTCGATTATAAAATAAGGATCTGTAGTTTATATAAATAGAGACCTTATTTTAGTTGAAGATATTTTTGTTGTCTATCTCAAAAATTTGAATTTTTCTGAGTACCAAAAATCTGTTAATTTAAAAACTCTACCAAATCTTTCTTGGCTAAATAAACTATCCAAGCTTACTGTAAGTGACTCTAATATAACTATTGATGCAACTCGAACTATTGCTTTACGTGTTAAAGGTGAGAACAAACATAAAAAAACTTCAGCAACTAAACTATATCTCAGACTAAAAAGTTATCCAAAAATCACTGATCTTGCAAAAAATATATTAAATCAGAGCGCAAATACACCAGATGTATCTATATCTTAAAAAGTTTATTTGATATTTTTTTTTGCAATTAAAAAAGTTTTTTTTATGTTATATAAATTGTTTTTTAATATAAATATTAATAAAATAAAAATTCACTTATATTACATATACCCTTATAATGAATAATAATTGTAGTGGCTGAAGCTGAAAATAGCTAAAGCTAAAAATTAAGCACTCTGTTTATGCATTTTTTATTATTAAAACTGACTCTAAATTCTAAACTAACTATTAAAGAATGCTAAAAAAATACGCTTCAAAAATTTTTAAAAATTTCATGTTAAATTATTTAAAATTTCCAGACAATAATTAAAAACTTTATGAGTAAAAAAAAAATAATCACCTAAACAAGTAAAAATTTTGATATAATTTATTCCAATTGAAGCAGGCCTTGCTAATTCGATATTACTAAATAATATAAATGGCTATCTTAAACACTATATAACAAATCTAATAAATTCATATTTGAAGAGAGGAGACTTCCATAAATTGACTAGATCTATATTAAGATGAACTATATCCAATAATATGATCTAATAGAATTT